CAGACAGACACATTGCCAGCAGGAAGCAAAGGGAGAGTGAGCAGAGAAAGAAAAGGTCAGGCCCTTGAACCCAACCCAGAACCGGAGCTGACAAGCAACTTCATAACACACCTATTCTTAACCTTTGATTTTTTTTTTTTTTTTGGCCAGGGGTTTGAACTCAGGACCCTGAGCTTCTTTTTTGCTCAAGGCTAGTGCTCTACCACTTGAGCCACAACACTACTTCTGTCTTTTTTTTGTGTATGTGGTACTAAGGAATCGAACCCAGGGCTTCAAGCATGCCAGGCAAACACTCTTACCACTAAACCACATTTTGATAACAGTTTTGATAACAGCCATCTTAAGAGTCTCTTAGTAGGTTTGATGATTAATGGTGGTAAACAATATGTGTGTGTGTGTGTGTGTGTGTGCGCGCGCGTGCGCGCACGTGCTGGTACTAGAACTTGAACTCAGGGTTTGGGTGCTGTCAGCTGTTTTGCTCAAGGCTGGTGCTCTGCTACTTGAACCATAGCTCCACTTGTAGCCTTCTGGTGGTTAATTGGAGATTAGAGTCTCATAGTCTTTCCTGGCCAGGTGCTGTCCCTTAGCTTTTCCTGCCCAAGGCTGGCATTCTACCATTTGAGTCACAACTTAACTCTCAGCTTTCTTTTGGCTCGTTAATTGGAGAGGAGAGTTCCCTAGACTTTCCTGCCTGGGTTGGCTTTGAACTGCCATCCTCAGATCTCAGCCTCCTGAGTAGCTAGGATTCTAGGCTTGAGGTCTGGGTGCCTGGCATGAACACCTTTTTACATCTGTCAGCTGCTTGTATATTTTCTTTGGGTAAATGTCTATTCAAGACTTTTCCACTTTTCTAAGTTGGTACATTTGTTTTTTCATTGGTCTATTTTCTCTATTCTTTATAATTTTTTGACTATCCGTCTATCACATAGATACTATGTAGGGATTTTACCCCATCTATAGGTTCCAATTTCTTTTTGCTGAATGTATCCCTTGCTAGGAAGGAGTTTTGTGTAGTTTTGTTGACTTGCTATGGCCTTGCTGGCCTGTGCTTTTTGTGGGATGCCCAAAAGATCGTGGCCAAGGAATGCTTCTGCCATGTTCTTTAGGGTTTTTGTAGTTTTCTGGCTTTATATTTAGCTCATGAATACACTTTTGAGGGTGTATATGATGTAATTTTAGGACCCAATTTCATCTTTTGTGGACACAAATCTATTTTCCTTGGCAAAGTTTATTGCATAGACGGTCCTTGCACTGGGATGGTATCCTTGTCAAAAATGGATTGACTCTCTATGGTTGAGTTCATTTCTGGGAGATCATTTCTGTTCTCTGTATTTTCAGAGTTTCATTTCCTGGTCCTGGGGCTTAAACTCAGAGCGCCAGTGCTATCCCTTTGTGCTCAAGGTTACTGCTCTGCCACTTGAGCCACAGTACCACTTCTGGCTTTTTCTGAGTGTTTATTGGAGAAAAGACTCTCATGGACCTTCCTGCTTGGGTTGGTTTCAAACTGCAATCTTTGGCTCTCAGTCTCCTGAGTAGCTAGATTACAGGCATGAGCCACCAGTAGCTCTTGTACATATCTATATATTTTTTCTGCTTATGTGGTGCTGAGGAATCGAACCCAGGGCCTCATGCATGCAAGGCAAGCACTCTACCACTGAGCCACCTTCCCAGGCCTGTACATATATTTTTAAACAGTTTAAAGTGAGAGTATTTTAGGTTGGACTTTTAAAACCAACTTCATCAAAGAGAGGACCTGAATGCTACCCAGTGCCGTAATTAGGTGAACCTGAGCTGAACCTCACCCCGGAGGTGCTGGTGGCTACCAGTGCCTATCAACAAGGCTGCAGATCTAGTTGAGTCCTGGATTCTGAGGAGAGTTTGTTTCCTTTCACTTATCACCAGATTTTAAGCAGAGATTTGCTTCATTAGACCCTCTGATATAAATGCTTACGTGCAGTTCATGTTAGAATCAGGTGTTAATAATCTTAAGATCTAAGCTTTAGTTGGACTCTAGTATCTCACACCTGTAATCCCAGCTATTCAGAAGGCTGAGTTCTGCAGATCCCAGCTCAAGTAGACAAATCTACAAGACCTGATTTGTGTGTGTGTGTGTGTGTGTGTGTGTGTGTGTGTTTCCAGAGATGAGGATTGAACTGAGGGCTTTATACTTGCTGGGCAATGCTTTTCCTTAGAGCTAAATCCCCACTTGTAAGACTTTTACCTCCAATTAACCTGCAAAAGCCAAACGTAGAGGTGTGGCTCAAGTGGTAGACTGCCGTCCTTGAGAAAAAAAGCCAGGTGATCATATCTTGGGGTTCATCTCACTTAGCATCATCATATATGGTCATATGTACACAGCTTTTGAGCTTTTCTGCTCATCTGATAAAATTATCCTAGAGTTATACTAATTATTGCAAATGAAGGAAACCATGGGACCTATACTTCTTTGGGCCTGGCTTACTTCACTTAGTATAATTTTTTCCAAGTCTATCAATTTCCTAACAAATGGGGCAATGTCATTCTTTCTGATGGAGGCATAGAATTCCATTATATATATACCACATTTTCTTGACCCAGTCATCTACTGAGGGGCATCCTCAGTTGAGGGTTGGTTCCATATCTTAGCTATGGTGAATAATGCTGCAATAAACATAGTCATGCTGCACACAAGAGGTCTTTCTTTGCTGTTGTTTTTAGTGTACTACATGATTTTTTTGTTTCTTTCGTGTGTTCTTCCCCCTGTTGCATTTCCCCTACTTGATTTTGGTGTCCTGCATCTTGTATATACATTTGTCTAAGCAGAATAACAAAATGCTGAAACAAGGACAGAGGATGACCCATTGCAGCAATGATACCCACAGGACAGTATTTTGGAAATGAACTTTAAAACTTTGGGTAGGGGAAGAGTGAGGGAGGTGGGGGAGGGAAGGAATAGTGGGAGAAGAACAAGGGATGGGTAACAATGCTCGACAAGTCATGTACTCATTGTCTTACTCGTGTGACTGTAACTGCTCTGTACAGCAGCTTTACAATAAAATAAAATAAAATCCAAGCGAGAACATGAAGTCCTGACTTCAATCCCCAATATTGACCAAGAAATAATAATAGCAAACAAATCCAAGCTTTATGCTAAGGTGTGAATTCCTTTTCCATGCCCCCTACTCATTCATTTTGATGCCCTAACTAACCATAAGCCATGGAGACTTGGGTGTGAATTCCCAGGCCTCCGTTCTGCTTATCTTTGACTTTGGTACCCAGCACACAGACTTTGGCATATTTTATTCAGCATTTGTGTGTGTGTGTGTGTGTGTGTGTGTGTGTGTGTGTTCATTCAGGTTCATGCCCAGCGCAGCTGTTTAGTTTGCTGTAATGCTGACTCTATACATCTTGTGATCCTGACAGAAATAAGAAAGATACAACGAGATTAGGAAAAGTTAAGGAGGCTGAAAAGGTGCTAAACTCTTAAGAATTATTCCAAGACAAATGTACAAAGTTAAGTGAGTTGAACTTTTAGTCATAAAAGCCCTGAAGATGGGAAATCCTGACTAGTCCATCCAGTTTTCATGCTGGGAGGCGCTAAGAGAGGGGGAAAGATTTGGTGAATGGAGAGGTAACCTTCGGAGGACCCCTACGAAGGCATGGAATAGCTCACTCCAGGAGACTTTTTGGGCAGAGGGAGTGAGCAGTTTTAGAATGAATGTAAATTTATTGCTGTATACACAATTCATAATATTTTAACTTTTCTTTTTTGCCTTGTTAGACATATTAAGACTTCCATTTTTCTTCTCATGAGGATATATGAGGAATGGGTGCACACATGTAGCAATAGATTATTGATGATTTATTATTATTATCATTATTTACTATCATTTTGTCAGTTGTGGAACTTGAACTCAGGGCTCAAATACTGTCCCTGAGCTTTATTTTGCTCAAGGCTAGTGCTCTATTGCTTCACAAAACACTTCATAAGCTTGAAAGCAAGGGTTGATACCAATATAAAATTAAATGTTTCTTCTCTGGAAGAGAAGTAGGATTACAGTAAGATTTTATTCCAGGAAAAACTGGAGCTTTATCTAGGAATATGGAAAGCCTGAGACGTAGTAAGCATTATAGTATGCCAGAGACTAGAAATGCACAGAAAGAAGAGATATAAACACAAAGAAGTGACCATCATAACGAAATGAAAGGGAAATAATGAAAACCAGGATTTTAGACGGGTTTGAATAATGTCTGACAACTAAGAGGACACCCTAAGAGGAAGCTTTGTGCTGTTACTTTGCATTGCACATGGGTGTGTGTGCCATACAGTTTGGAGGCAGTGAAGATTCTCTGGTAGAAAATTTGAGAGGCCGCTGGGTAACGGGGGCAAAGGCCTTCTCCCATCGAGCTTCTGCCTCGCATCCCTTGGCTTTGTGCAACCACTCATGCAGCCCACTGGACCTCATTTCATAGCCCAGGACCCATTGCCCTGCTTGCAGTGGACTGATTGGATCCCAGAGGTGTAGACCAGAACGGACACCCAATCAGAGGGTCTGAAAGGTGCATGGAGTGCTTGTGCAGGCTATGTGGAGCTTCCTGATTGGTTCTGGGGACTGCCCTGGCCCGCAGGCTGGCCAATGATCCCGAGAGCCCCATAGATCTGTCCTACGGTCGCCTTATTAACTCAGCACACCAGGCCTCAGGCTGAGCCTCCCGTGCCACACTCCTGTCTAGCAGGAGGAGTTGATCCTGTTTATGTTTTTCTTCAGTAAATCTTGGCCATTTTACTTCTCCCTCAGTGTCCATAGACTTGTTCTTTGAGTCTGGAGACACAAAGGATCCAATCCACATACTGCAGTTTTTCAGTATTAGATTAACATATTGGAAGTAATGTGAAAAGTTTCTCTTCATCAAGAGGTACTCATGGATAGAATATATTTTGTTAGAGAAGAGCCGACCTATTTATATAGTATATTCATAGGAAATAGTAATGTGTGTTCAATCATTCTTTGTCATTTTAGAGGAATTCCAGGGAGGAAGTGTGGGACAATCATCCTTACAGCAGAGGAATTAAATTGCTGCAGGGTGAGTATATTTTTTCTTTTTCAAAACTGATTTCTAGTATTTCTTCGAGATAAAATTACCCTTTGAAAAATGAAGCATTTTGACCAGACATTACTAGTCCAAAAGAGGAGATCAACTATTTCAGAACCCACTAAACAAAAAATAAAAAGTACTGGGCTTGTAGTGGGTTTCATTGATGGACAACTTTGCTTAATAGATGTGAAGTCCTGGGTGTGGTTTCAATACCTCATTGCCCCAAAAGAAGTCTAATCCCAACTTTGTTTTTTAATATTAGTCTAAGGAATTGTCACTTATTGGTTCAATAAGTGATAATTTGAAGATTAGGTACAATTTTTTGTGTATGTATATGTGTTGGTCCTGTGGCTTGAACTCAGGGCCTGGGATCTGTCCTTAAGCTTTTTGACTCAAGGCTAGCTCTCTACCACTTGAACCATAGCTCCTTTTCTGGCTTTTTGCTGGCTAATTGGAGATAAGAGTCTCATGGACTTTCCTACCCAGGCTGATTACAAACTGTGATCCTCAGATTTCAGCCTTCTGAGTAACCAGGATTACAGGCATGAGCCCACCAGTCTCTGGCAGGACTTGGTATAATTTTGTGGGATTCCCTTTTGAGTAATGTTTTTTTTTCCTCTTCATTTTAGCTGAGTGACTTTAGAATTTTATATTGTTTCCATTTTGACAGCTTAAGCAGCCCCCACTTCCATGGAAGGACAGGCTACCACTCCAACTAGGAGTTTGACTCTTAGAATAATACCTTTTGTATACTTTTAGAGAATGGCTTTTTTTCCCTTTGACTCTTGCTGATACACTCACTCACTCATGTTCTGTGTGACTTCACCATTGACAAGAAACGAGGTGACAGTTGTGACATTACACACTGGACACAACAGTGACCTGCCGAGTCCGAAGTCTGGTTTGTCTCCTCGTGTGCTCCAGTGCATCTCTGGGAATTGATATTTCTGGAGGGAAAAACAAAACAAAACATCTGCCCTGGATTATATCTCTAGGTCTTTTTATTTTTCATTGCTTTGTGATGATTTCAAGAACAGAAAGTTCCAGAGAATACCAAGAGTCACTACTACATGTGCCTTAGCCATCATTTTTATGTAGAAAGCTAGAGTTACTATCTCCAGAAGGTTATTTTTGTGCAATTTGGCATTGGGAGCTCATTCCCATAATCCTAGCTAGCTAAGAGGCTGAGATGTGAGAATCAGGGTTCAGAGTCAGCCCGGGCAAGATAGTCTTTGAGACACTTATGTTCAATTAACCATACACATTCTCTCTCTCTCTCTCTCTCTCTCTCTCTCTCTTTCTGTCTGTCTCTCTCTCTCTCAGCTCCAGAAGTGTCTTTCTGTCTGTCTCTCTCTCTCTCAGCTCCAGAAGTGGAGCTGTGGTTCAAGTGGTATAGACTGGCCAAGATATGAGTTAGTGTAAATGATAGTAACTGAATGTTTTAATTGGTTACATATCTTTTAGAGTTGCAGGGAGAGAAGAAAAAGAAAAGAAGTGCTGTATAGAAAATATATAGTAATAGGTTTGTGGAGATAATTAAGAACTAAGCTGGTCACTGGTGGCTCATTACTGTAATCGCGGCTAATCAGGAGGCTGAGATCTGAGGATCACAGTTCAAAGCCAACCTTGGAAAGGAAAAGTCCTTGAGACTTTCAATAAAAACTACCAAAAAGCTGAAAGTGGATCTGTAGCTCAGGTGGTAGACTGCTAGGCTTGAGCACAAAAGCTCAGCGACAGGGAGTATAAACTTGTTCAACCACTTTGGAAAGCAGTATGGAGGTTCCTCAAAAGACTCTACGTAGAGCTCCCCTATGACCCAGCAATCCCACTTTTGGGCATTTACCCAAATGAGCACAAACAAGACCACACTAAAGCTACCAGCACAACTATGTTTATTGTAGCATTAGTCACCATAGCTAAGATATGGAACCAACCTAGATGCCCCTCAGTAAATGAATGGATCAAGAAAATGTGGTATACATACACAATGGAATTCTATGTCTCCATCAAAAAGAATGACACTGCCCCATTTGTTAGGAAATGGAAAGACTTGGAAAAAATTATATTAAGTGAAGTAAGCCAGGTCCATGGTTTCCCTTATTTGCAATAACTAGTATAAATCTAGGACAAGCAAAAAAGTTGAAAAGCTATGTTCATATGACCATATAAGATGGTAAGTGAAATGAATCCCTAGACAGGGACACAAGTGTTTTTATCTTTCTTGCTATTGTTTTTTTAACATACTTAAAATGTACTATGTGATTTTTTTTCTCTTGTATGTTCTTCCCCCATGGATAACCCCTGTTTTCACTGTATTTGATATTGGTCTTCCCCCATGGTATAACCCCTGTTTGGTGCATTTTTCTAATTTGGGGAGGGGAAGGGAAATAACAAAATGCTGAAAAAGGATACAGGTTGACCCATTGTAACAATGAGATGTACAAGACACTATGCTGAAAATGAACTTTAAAACTTGGTGCAGGGAGAAGTTGTTGAGGTAGGGAGGGAAGGAATGGTAGGGGAAAAACTAAGGAGGAGGCAGCAATGCTTGATAGGAAATGTACTCATTACCTTACTCATGTAATTTTAACCCCTCTGTACAGTATTTTTACAATTAAAAACATAAAAGGCTCAGGGACATTGCTCGGGCCTTGAGTTCAAGTCTCCAGAGTCACACACACACACACACACACACACACACACACACACGAATATTAGAATTTAAGTCATTAAAATCAAGGTCATCCCTGAATCCATACACAATTATGTGTCTTCACACATAATTGAGTTTTAGATTGCTATGAATTTGTACTTGGTCTTATCATGTCTCAAGATTACTCTGAGGTTTACTTTGTCATACTTGAAGGAATAAAAGATAAATGTGAGCCAGCCACTAAAATATCTTTTAAACTTTATTTGGCTCTGAAAACCAACTACCATAACTTGGAACTTGATCATGTATTAAAAAATATTTTATACAGCAGTGCAATTATTTCAATGTGGAACTATTACCCATTTAGCAAATTTTTCTGGTTAAATGGCACCAATGATTTTTGTCAGTGTTCTGGTCTCTGAATTTGTACACATGTATGATAATATATGCTTTGCATAAGGAAAGATGTAAAGAAAAGCAAGTTTATTGTTCTTATGGTATGTATTCTTGCTGGTAACAGAGTTTGAACTCAAGGCCTTGTGCTTGCTTGGCTTGCTTGCTTCACTGATGCTCTACCTCTTGAGCCATACCTCCAGCCCAGCCTTTGACTGGAAATAAGAGTCTCATAGACTTTTCTCCCTAGGTTGCTTTGCACTATGACATTCAGATCTCAGCCTCTTGAGTAGCTAGGATTATAGGCACGAGCCATCAGCGCCTGGATAGATACATATTCTTTATGGTAATATTAACCTCATTTTGTCAAAATCTTGAGTTCAATGAGGTGGTTCTGATGTAAGTATGCACTGTTTGCTCAGGAAGCTGATGGTTTTCAGCTTTATTTGAAATAAAACCAAAATATTAGAGTATTGATTGTATTAATGATCAAGTAACATTTTAAACATCTTTCAAATCTATTGTCTTGCTTAGAACAGTTGTTAGCAGAGCTGTTAAGCAAGACAATTCTAGAGCTTCCATGCAAATGAAGTAAAAGTATAGTAGAGAAGATACAATAGAGAAAATATATAGTATAAAGGATATAGTAGATACTGTGTGCATGCGTGTGTGTGTGTGTGTGTGTGTGTGTGTGTGTGTATGTGTGTGTTCCTGTCCTGAAGCTTGAACTCAGGACCTATGTACTGTCTCTGAGCTGTTTTTGCTCAAGGCTAGTACTCTACCACTTGAGCCAAAGCCCCATTTCTGGCTTTTTTGTGATTTATTGTAGATAAGAGTCTCATGGACTTTTCTGCCCTGGCTGGCTTTGAACGGTGATCTTCAGATCTTTGCCTCCTGAGTAGCTAAGATGACAAGTATGAGCCATCAGGCTATAGTAGACACTTTCATCCCTCTGTCTAGTGCTAAAGTTTAATTATATCTAGAATTATCTTAGTAAATATGCCAGTGGAACATAAAAGCAAGCAAGACTATGAGGTGATGAGTTTGAGGCTCAGTACAAGCACAAAAATTTTAAAAAAACTTTTAAATACTCCAACTTCACAGTGATGCTGGTGAATTTCTAACTATATATTCATGTTTACTTGCCAATCTCAATTTTTTTTCTTCTGAAACTACTGAGAAAAAATAATGAGAATTTTAAGTGAATGTTTAATAAGGCTAGATTGCAAAACACTTAAGTGGTCAGAGTGCTTTTTAGATATTAACATTCTTACCAAGTAATATTACAAACTGTGATCACTTGATTTAATCTCAATTACTACTCTAGTTTTTTGGAAAAAAATTATAGAATCTCTATTCTATTCAACACACACCTGCAGAGAGAGAGAGAGCAATCAACAAACCAGGTATAGGCTTATGCCTGTAATCCTAGCTAATAGGGAGGCTGACATTGAGAATATCATGGTGTGAGGCCAGACAGTCTAAAAAGTTCTAGAAATCCCCATCTCACTCAATAGCCCAGTATGGTGGCATATGCTTGCATTCCCAGCAATCTCATAAAGTATAGGGAGGGAGGTTATAGTTTAGGCTGGCCTGGGCAAAAAGCAAGACCCTATCTGAAAAATGACCTCATGAAAAAGGTTAAAGGGGTTGCTCAAGTAATAGAGTGCCCACCTAGCAAGTGTGAATTCTGCATTTGAAGGTCTGTACCACCAGCACACACACACACGCACGCACGCACGCACACAGACACACAGACACACATACACACACTACAAAACTATTGATTTAATTTTTGTTGTTGGTGGTGGTGGTTGGGGGCTTGAACTCTGGGCCTGGGCGTTGTCTCTGAGATCTTCAGCTCAAGGCAATCATTCTACCATTGAGCCACAGCACCCCTTCCAGTTTTCTGGTGGTTTTTATTGGAAATAGGAGTTTCCAATTAAAAAAAAAAAGGCCCAGGCTGGCTTTGAACCATGATCCTCAGATTCTGAGGATCCTGAGTAGCTAGGATTATAGGTGTGAACCACCAGTGCCTGGCTTGATTAAATTTTTAAGTAAATATGTATGTCCTGCCATTTTTTTAACAGTTCTTTTCCTACTTAATTGAAATGTTTAACTTCCTTGGTATGACACCCAATTAGTAATGGTGAAATGTTAATTATGACAGCTTAAATATATCAATTGACAACAAGAAGAGGTTTGATATAATAATTAATACAAAAATATGTAATTTCATTACAGGTAAAAATAATGAGCACCAAAATTATTTGTACATGTAGTTGTATCAACATAAGCATAGACATAACAAAAGAAAATATCCCCACCCACCCCCCTTTCTTTTTGCCAGTCCTGGGTACTCTCTCTAAACTTCTTTTACTCAAGGCTAGCATTCTACCACTTGATCCACAGTGCCACTTTCAGCTTTCTCTGAGTAGTTTATTGGAGATAAGAGTCCCATGGACTTTCCTGCCTGGGATGGCTTTGAACCTCGATGATCCTCAGATTGCAGCCTCCTGAGTAGCTAGGATTACAAGCATGAGGCACTGGTGCTGGCTTGAAATTTTCCCTTTGCTAGATTATAAATCATGTTTCCCATAGCCTGTCTATCATTATTCATTACAGTCCAACATCAAATTCATAGTAGTCCTGTATGCTTACTACCTATTTTCAGAGTGAACAGGAATTTGTTTTTAAAGTTAACTTATAAAAATATACACCTGAATAATTGAAGATCCTTGCTTGTAACACTGAATACTTAGAGTCATAAGCTTAAAATCACTTTGTAAAAGAGAGCAGTGTTAAAGGTTCTTAAAAGAAATCATGTGGGGCACTGGTGGCTCACGCCTGTAATACTAGCTTCTCAGGAGGCTGAGATTTGAGGATCGCAGTTCAAAGCCAGCCTGGGCAGGAAAAGCCAGAGAGACTCTTATCTCCAATAAACTACCAGAAAACCAGAAGTGGTGCTGTAGCTCAAGTGGTAGAGCACTAGCCTTGAGCTGAAGAGCTGAAGGACAGCGCTCAGGCCCAAAGTTCAAGCCCCATGACCGACCAAAAAAAAAAAAAAGAAAAAGAAAAAAGAAATCATGTATGATTCCGATGAATATTTCTGTGGGAATTCTCAGTTTTCTAATCCTTTAGAGAGTAGTTCACTGCTGTCTGAGGCCCCACACTTGGCCATTTGCATTGAAATGACAATTTTATTTTTCTTGTCAAGTCTTACTTGAGAGTTGCACTTTCCAGTTTATTTATAGCTAAGCTTCTGAGCTGTTTAATTAATTTTCTTTTCAGGATGCTGTTTTGATGCAATTCTGTGCAAACAAATTGGACAAGAAGGATTTCTTTGGAAAATCAGATCCTTTTCTTGTATTTTATCGAAGTAATGAGGATGGCAGGTAGATTCACTTCTCTTTTTTTCATTTTAACTGTATGGTAAGGGGAGGTATTTGAAATACAGCGTTGGATCAGAGAAAGTCATTTGATACATTTAGCATATTAAATAACATAAAAATATTCTTCTATATTTCTAGATTTCAAAAAGCTACACTTTTTGAATCTCAAGAGCAATGTGTAACTTTGTAAGCATTTTTTTTTTTTTTTGGTCCGGTCGTGGGGCTTGAACTCTGGGCCTGGGCGCTGTCCCTCAGCTCTTCAGTTCAAGGCTAGCACTCTACCACTTGAGCCACAGCGCCACTTCCGGCTTTTTTCTTTTTGCTTATGTTGTGCTGAGGAATTGAACCCAGAGCCTCATGCATGCAAGGCAAGCACTCTACCACTGAGCCACCTTCCCAGCCCCACTTTGTAAGCATTTTAAGACATGTTTGATATTTAAGGTAATTTTCAGTTTCCTGGAACACTTTGTTTCCTTTTAATAAAATCATGAAACTATCTTCCTCAGTACTATGGAAGAATGATGTATTATAGAAATTTGAAATAGTGATATTTACACTTGTGGGTTTTTTTTTCAACTGAACACTTAAATGCTTTACTTTTTTTTTTGTGCCAGTCCTGGGGGCTTGAACTCAGGACATGGATGATTTCGCTGAACTTCATTTTGCTCAAGGCTAAGCCCTCTCTCTATTCCCAAGCCATAGCTTTTGCTTTTTCTGAGTAGTTTATTAGAGGTGAGAAGTCTCTTGGACTTTCCTGGCTGGGTTGGCTTCAAAACATGATCCTCATATCTCAGCCTCCTGAGTAGCTAGCATTATAAAGATGAGCCATGGGAACCTGGTTTTAAATGCTTTCTTGAATGATCAGACGTTTATTTTGCTCCATTTTATCCTGCCCACATTTGTGAGAAGTTTATGTAGTAAAAATGTATGGCTAAGTCATGTGTAAAAATGTATGGCTTATGGTTGGGTGCCAGTGACTTGTAATCCTAGGTACTCAGGAGGCTGAGATCTGATAATAAATGTTCAAAGCTAGCATAGACAGTAAAGTCCATGAGACTCCTAAAAAGCTGGAAGTGGAGGTATGGCTCAAGTAGTAGAGCACCAGCCTGAATGAAAAAACTATCTGGGTTCAAGCCCCAGTACCAGTATATACCTGCCCAGGCTGGCTTTGAACCTTGATTCTCAGATCTCAACCATCTGAGTAGCTAGAATTATGGGCATGAGCATTCAGTGAACACTCAGAGATGAATGATTTCTTTCTTTTTTTTTTTGTTGGTTGTAGGGGCTGAACTCTGGGCCTGGGTGCTGTCCCTCAGCTCTTTAGCTCAAGGCTAGCACTCTACCACTTGAGCCATAGCACCACATCCAGCTTTTTTCTGTTTATATGGTGCTGAGGAATCGAATCTAAGACCTCATGCATGTGAGGCAAGCACTCTACCACTGAGCCACCTTCCCAGCCCAAGATGAATGATTTTTCAGATAAGATACTATAATAAAATCATGGAATTAATGGGAAACTTTTTTTTAACAGCTTTACAATTTGTCATAAAACAGAAGTTGTCAAAAACACTCTAAATCCTGTATGGCAAGCGTTCAAGATCTCCGTCAGAGCATTGTGTAATGGGGATTATGACAGGTAAAATCCTAGAGAGCATTGCTGATGATTTTGTTTAGTGTAGATCTAATAATCTACGCTAGAAAGACCTCCCCTTCCCTTCCCTTCCCTTTCCTTCCTTTTTCTCATTTTCCCTCCTCTCCTCTACCTTCCTTTCCTCTTCCCTCCTTTCCCTTCACCTCTCTTTCCTCTTTTTCTTTTTCCTTTCCCTTCCCTTGGGTTTGAACTCCAAATCTCCCATTTGTACAGCTTGCTTTTGCTGGTTGCCCTACCATTTGAGTCATGCCTTCAGCCAAGCTTTTTGCTGTTTATTTTGGAAATGGAGTCTTATGGACCTTTCTGCCCAAACCAACTTCAACCTGAAATCCTCTGGATCTCAGCCTTCTAGCTAGGATGACAGGGATGAACCAGTGACTCCCTCAGCTAAGTAAATGTGTGCTTACAAAAGCTATATTCATTCCACAATTTTTCAAATAACATGCTTTTTATCCATGATGAACCAGGAACTAGAGATGATTTGGAATAATTACAGTTTGCCAAAATGGCAAATGAACTGGTTTTTTCCTACAAGTGAACTGGTGCCTTCCATTAGTTGAATGTTAATTCCCATTTGAATTTATTTGTTCAGAGATCATTCTGGAATTCTCACAGCCTCAAGGCTTTCTGGCATATTCTCCCAAATGGTTTCTGAAGCCTGATGATTCTTTACCGTCCTTGGATGTAGCACTGTTTTAACAAACAGTTGAGTGAGGTGGTCACACAACACACTTCCGGCTTTCTTAATACCCAAGTGTACCCTCCCCCTTAGGAAAACTTATTGGAGGCTAATAATATAAAACCCTCCTCAAAAACTAATAAAAGCACTTAACTAAAAAGAAAATACCAATGCCTCTGTCACTTCAGATTCATTTATTCATTTTTATTTTGTTTTTGCTGAGATAAGATCTGACCCTGTAGCTCAGGTTGGCCTGCAATTCTTTTTTACTTTGTTTTATTTTATTTTTTACTTTAGTGCCAGTCGTGGGGCTTGAACTGAGGACCTAGGTGATGTCCTTGAGCTTTTTTGCTCGAGGCTAGTGCTCTTCCACTTGAGCCACAGCTCCATTTCCTGTTCTAAAACCCTAAATCTCCCATCTCAGCCTCCTGATGCTGTGATTACAGACACACACTATCATAACAGCACCCCAAGAAGAACCATTATAGCCCAATTCTAAGAAAGTGGTCCTTTTTGCATGTGTGGTGCTCATACTGAGGTTTGAACTCAAGGCCTTGAATTCTTGCTCAGCTTTTTCCCTCAAGGCTGGCATTCTACCTCTTGAACCACACCACCACTTTTGGTTTTTTACTGGTTTATTGGAGACAAGAGTCTTGGAATGTGTCTGCGTGGGGTTGGCTACTAGCCAGGATCCTTAGATCTCAGCCTCCTGAGTAGCTTGGATTACAGGTTTGAGCCATTGGTACCCACTAGAAAGTAGTTCTTAGCATGTTTTCTGATTAACAGTATCACCTGATAGCCTTGAGGAAATTCAGATTCCCAGGCATCTTGCATGACTTACTAAAGCACACTCTCCAAGAACAAGGTCCCAAAACCCATGCTTTGTTCAGTTGTCCCTGTGGTTATGATTCGTGAAGTTCAGAAACTCAGCTCCAAGTCAGAGATCCTCAATAATGGTGAAGGGGATGCCGACCACTCATAGCTGCACCCCCAACTTCTCTTCCTCCTCCTGAGGAGCTCTGATCCCCAGAATCCTTCTCTGTGTCCCACTGGAGAACTGTACCCACTCCTATATTCTCTCCTCCATGTTAAGACTCCTTATGGGCTCTAGACACTGATTTTAAGATATAATGTGAACTACGATTATGACTGTTGTGAGCTAAGTCAATTTCAATTACTTTGCCAAACCTTCAAGCATATATTCTTTTAGCTAAGACTACTGCTTATCTTAAAATAATGATCATATTGTGGTGATTTTTTTTAATAAGTGACATTAATGTGATTATTTTTCCCCCATGGACAGAACAATCAAAATAGAGGTGTATGACTGGGACCGAGATGGGAGGTAAGACATTCTCTTCTTCCATTCTTGTCTAATAATGATGAGGAGGAGGAGGAAGAGGAGGAGGAAAGGGGAGAGGGGGAGGAGAGGAAGAAGGAGAAGAGGGAGGGGGAGGAGAGGAAGAAGAAAGGGAGAAGAGGAAGAAGAAGAAAGGAAGAAGAAAAGACAAAGAAGAAGAAGTAAGGAGGTAGAGGAAGTAGAAGGAGGAGGATGGGGAGGAAGAGGAGGAAGAAGAAAGAAGGCAGAAGAGGAAGAAGAAAGGAAAAAGAAAAGAACACAAAGAGGAGGAAGAAGGCAAAAAGAAGGAAGAAGAGGAGGAGGAGGAAGAAGAAGAACAAAAAGGAGGAGGAGGAGGAAGAGGAGGAAGTCACCAGCATAGTGACATGACCACCATTTTTATTAGTTTGTATATTTGTCTGGAATTTCAAATGTTAACCAGAACTTTACTAAGATTTTTAGTGAATATATTTTCTTCACTCAGTGATGAGAGGTTTTCTTCCTTTACTGAGACTTAGTAGGCATTTTCATCTGCTCTTTCTCACTGTTTAACTTCCTCTGTGCTATAGACAAATGAGTCTCAGATTTCTCTATCTCTTTATCTCTCTGAAGTTTCCTGTGATCTTTATAACTTGGGCCTTTCAAGGGAACATAGCTAAGCACCATACTGCCAGTCACACATAAAGAGAGCAAAAGAGAAAGACACCTGAACAACAAACAGCAAGAGAAAACTCTAGAATGGCATCCAGGGAATGGAAATTGTTATACAAATTGAGCACCATACTGACAGTCACACATAAAGAGAGCAAAAGAGAAAGACACCTGACCAACAAACAGCAAGAGAAAACTCTAGAATGGCATCTAGGGAATGGAAATTGTTATACAAATTGTTATAAAGGTGATGTCTAGTCTGTGGATATATGGCATATAAGAACATGATTAATAAACTTTCACGTGGAATTTTGTTTATCAGATAGAATTTCCCAAGGTAAATAGCCTTTCCTCAAATCAGAGTAAGGAAGATCAAACAACTGTTACATTTTCATGGCTCAGTGTCATGAGCAATATTCGATTTCTTATTCATTATATTCCTCCTGCCATCTCTCTGTGACTGACTGAAATTCGATATGTTGATCATTTTAGGTTCTATCTTTAGATCTAGAAGTGTTGATACCTGCTAGAAAAGATCTTTAGATCTAGATGTGTTGATACCTACTAGAAAAGATTTTTTTCCTTAGTGGATTTAAAAAAATTATTTCAACAGTATAGACTAGCATTGTTGGATGAAATAAAATGATAATTCCATGTTTTTTTTATCAACATCATCAAGGTATAAAAATACACCAGGGTAGCTGGTAATCCCAGATACTCAGGAGGCTGAGATCTGAGGATCAGGAAAATCCATGATTAAGTTACACAAAGCCAGAAGTAAAGGTGTGGTTAAGTGGTAAAGCACTAGTCTTGAATGAAAAAAAAACCAAACAACAGTGAGTTCAAGACCCATTAGGAGCACAAAAACAAAAGGAAAGAAAACTGAAACTCAGATAATAATGTATTGTCTGTAATCCTGTGCATATAGAATGGGACCATTTTAATACGGAGTCCATATAAAAATTATTAAGGAGAAATCTTGCACTTTTGTCCCGTGTGTGAAATCTGTAGTCACAGCAGACACCGTATTAACATGGAGTACTGTATTGCTGCACTGGGAACTCTGCCATGAATGTTAATGCTTAAGGTGCAGTGCAGCTCAACCTCACCATGTCTCTGGTGTCCATAACCAGGTAGTTGGCTTGGATTACAACCATATATTGTGTTGTAAAGAATTCTACATCAGCTGCGATGTTTTTGTCTGCATTTAACAAACGTTTACAGCCACCACTATGTGCACATTCTGGGGAAACCTGGCCTTGTGCCTTTGGATAGCAGTTTAACTGTAGGAAGCCAATAAAATAGTCGCTGATTCCAATCCGAAGGGGCTATGTAAGTTAAAAAATTAAAGTAGGCAGGTCCAAGGAAACATTGTAAGTGTATGTCACATCTAATGTGTGGTTTTGTTTGAGATAATTATTTAATAGACCATCACTATTAATTATTTGAATTTGGCATTCAGAGCTAATTGAGAATGGGAAAAATTAAACTTAATTAGTTATTATCTAATGTGATACGATTATTTAATAATACATACTTTATGTAATTGGTCAATGTGTGTGTGTGTGTGTGTGTGTGTGTGCGTGCGCACATGTGTGTGTACTTGCTGCGTGTACTGGGGCTTGAACTCAAGGCTTGGGCTTAAAAAACTTTTTCACTCAAGGCTGATACCCGGTCATTTGAGCCACAGCTCTACTTCTGACTTTTTGGTGGTTAATTGGAAATAAAAGTCTCATGGATTTTCTTGGCAGGGTTGGCTTCAAATTGCAATCCTTAGATCTCAGCCTTCTGAGTAGCTAGGATGACAGGCCTGAACCACATCACCTGGCTTAAAAAAAGAAAAGTGCTGACCAGTGTTCTTGCTTACTGTCACCTTTTGTTCTTGCTGGCTGGGTTCCTTGGATCTATGGCATAATGGCAGCTACAGTTGGAGAAACTCAGGTAGTCGTGTGATCTTGTAGATTTTTGACAGATGTTTCCAACTTGAAAATTCAAGTTAAAAATCTCAAGTTGACAATTTGTGAACTTCAAATTAATATTCTGAGGAAGCCCTTGGGAATCTAGGAAGTGTACAAAAGTACTGGAATACTGTGGGCCAAGAGCCCAGTTGACATTAAATTTGGTAATTAAAGCTAATCTAGAATGGAAGACAATACCGTCATCACTTTGTTTCCATACCATCCTGTGGCCTGGGGCCATGGAAATGGCACTTGACCTTGACATGAATCATCATTTTAAACAGGCTTCATTTTGAACAAGTTAAACCACTTGACCCAAAGCTTTTCCAGAATTTTTGCCATGTGTTTAAGGGCTGTGGAAGAAGAATATTGAAGCCTCATTTTCACAATGGCCAGGAAGCTGACTTGTGTGCCTTTGGAGCCTGTGCTGTGTGTGAAGAGCTTCAATGGCTGGAAGTTGCTTGGACAGAATTGGTGGCATGATTTCAAATTCCGGGAGCAGTAATTGCACAGCTGTGCATCAAGTCCTTGTGGCTATAATGTGGCCTGATTGTCAATGGCCTGAGCCAACAAACTGCCGGTCATCAGACTCCAGTTTGGAAAAGCTGTTGCATGAGTGTGAAACTGTCATTGTTACCACTCTGTGTTTTACAAAACACAGTCATTTTAAATAGTGCATTTAATATGGTAAGTAGGAGCAGCCTTCACTTACTCGGGCAGTGCTGTACACCTCATATCGTTTCCTTTTTTCTAACCACTGAAGCTATTATTTGCAAATGTATTTTGATGTTTTTATCAAGTTACACCTCTTGATGTCCAAGTATCCACATGATTCTTAGTCCAGTGCTTAAGAATTCATTTGTAATTTAATTCTCATTAGAGAGATTCAGTTATTTGTCAGTTTTAATATTTATTTCATTTTTATTAAGAGGGCTAAAATTAGCCTCCTCTTTGTTTGAAGCTAACTCTGAGTGTCCTGGATATTCAATAAAATGCTTTGCCAGGTACTGGGGACTCACACCTGCAAACCTAGCTACTTAGGAGGCTGAAATTGCTGATTGAGGTTCAAAGCTATCCTGGGCAGTCAAGTCTATAAGACTCCTTTCTCCCACTAACCAGAAAAAATACATGGAGCTGTGGCTCAAGTGGTAGAGTATCAACCCTAAGTGAAAAAACGGTCATTGGGAAATAAATCCCAATGTATGTATTAAAATAAGATTTGTTTGCTTGTAAAGAGCCTCATGTAATAAGAAAATTCCCATACACAATTACAAGAAGGAAAAGACTAATTGACCAAAAAGAAAATAACCACTAATTGTAAGTATGGGGACCATTAATGATAAATATGGGGAAAATCCAATTTATAGTAATAAAAAGAATTTATAAAACAAAGCTTTATGTGTAATAAATAGCATTGAATCAAATATCTTTTTAAACCAAACTAGCAGATACTCTATATTTTTCCATGTTGCTCAGGGAACTTAAGTAGATATTTTTATGTTTTAGAAGGATATTAACAGGAAGCAAGTTTGATTACCTGTGTTAATACATTTAGAAATATTCCTGTAACTTGTATCTACTAATTTCAGTTTTAAAGGCCTAGTCTCTGAATTGAGTGTCAGTAGCACGCTCCTATAATTTTAGATACTCAGGAGACTGAGATATGAAGATCATGGTTCAAAGCCAGACCAGGTAGGAGAGTCCCTGAGACTTTTTATCTCCAATTAACCAGAAAAAAACAAAAACTGGAAGTAGAGCTGTGATTCAAGTAGCCTTGAGCAAAAGTTAAATGACAGCACTCAGGTCCCGGAGTCCAAGCCCCAGGACTAGCACAAACTAATAATAATAATAATAGTAATAATAAATTATTCTTTGATTCTTCTTGGAAGCCTGAAAAAGAAGGCTTATGCTAAAAATGCTCAACTCGGTTTTTTTTATAATATAAAAATGTAAATGTTCAAAATTAATTGTGGAACTGCCATCAGAAGAAATACTGTACCTCTTTTACTCTCTCTCTCTCTGGGAATGCTTTAGCATTTATCATAAAATGCTAAGTGAAAAATTCAGAGCATTTTATACAACACCACCAAATAGTAATTATAGCGTGAGTCACCTCTCAGGTGGCTACATTAAAAAGTAAATACAATCAGATGAAACTAACTTTAATAATACTCCTTACTGAAATTGATATATCTGCAGCATTGCTTTCTCAACATGACTAATAACACAATTATTAATGAGATATTTTCCTCTTTCATAAGCAGAATATTTGAAATACATTATATGTTTTACATATGATGCCATCTAGGATGCTTATGTTCTCCACTGATTGAAGAATTAAAAGGGCAGACAAGTGTTTAAAGCAGACAGAGAGGGTTTATTTGAAAGCAAAAAGCAATCCTATGCAGGGATCTCCCCTCTGCCCCCAGGGTCCCGCTATATATAGGGCCCTTGTCTCCGCCCCCTCAGGGCATGCTCCAGGTGTGATTGGTTTAGGGATAGACATGCAGTTCAAGGAGGCTTGTGATTGTTTCCCCTCTCTCTCAGTCAATCGTTCCCTCCCTCCCCCCCATGCATCTTGTTGAGTAGAAAGGTTATGTAGCTTAGTGGAGGGTGGAGGTGTTTACTTGGAATATAAATGAGAGCTGTAAATTGAGGTAGATTCTATATAAAGGATCTATTTACAACAATTCTATGTGACCGCTCAAGGAGAATTAAATGAATTAAACTTGTAGGCCTAAGGAAGAGTTTTAGAGTTAAGGATTGGATTAAAGATGTGGCTCGAGTGGTAGAGCAGCAGCTTTGAGCAAAAGAGTTAAAGGACAGTCCCCAGGTTCTGAGTTCAAGCCCCAGTATCAGCACAAAAGAAAAAAAAAACACAAAAAAGCTATGACAGAGAGCATATGGTTACTATCAAGGAAAATGCAGCTTTTGTAAATATATGTTTGAGGGCTGGTTTCATTTATTTCTTTGAAAACATTTGATCTAGATGAACGGAATATGTCTCTGTTGGTGGATAAGGACTGAGGGAGCTCCCTGAATAACATTTTATACATGTGTGCATGTGTGTGTGTGTGTGGGTGTACGTGCATGTGTGCACTCATGTCATGTACGTGTGTATGCATGCATGCACAAGTGTACCAGTACTGGGTTTGAGTTTAGGGCCTCCCAGTTTCACTTGGTTATTTCATTTAAGGTTGATACTCTTACCACTTGAGCCACAGGTTTACTTCTGGCTTTTTGCTGGTTAATTGGGTTAATTGGAGATAAGAGTCTCATAGATTTTCTTGCCTAGGCTGGCTTTGAACCATAATCCTCAAATTGCAGCTTCCTGAGTAGAAAAGATTATGGGCATGAACCACTGGCACATCTTTTTTTTTTTTTTTAAATTATGCCAGTCCTTGGACTTGAACTCCCTGAGCTTCTTTTGCTCAAGGCTAGCACTGTACCACTTGAGCCACAGCTCCACTTCTGGCTTTTTTGGAGTAGGTTTTTGGAGATCAGAGTCTCCTGGACTTTCCTGGCTGGCTTTGAATCATGATCTTCAGATCTTTGCCTACTGGATATCTTGGATTAAAAGAGTGAGCCACTGGGCACATACCAAGGATCTTTTAGACACAAAAGATCTGGGGAGGGGGGCAGGGCTGGGTATCTAAATGAGCTGAAGTTCAAATGATTTCCTTTTTAATTTCTTAGTGCAAAAATGCTACTAAATTAATATTACCTAATTGCTTTCCATCCACATTTAATCTTTAGAATATTGTATTTTGATTGGTAAAACAGCATGATTACTGTTTGTCACTGTCACCAGTCCCTTTAGGAGATTGTACCAGGATGAAGATTTACAGGAATATTTGTTCCATGATGATGAACAGCTTGAATTTGAATAACAAATGAGTCACCCTTAAGTTCTATGATATCCGCAACTGCTGTGACATCCCTTATATTTATTTTTTTAAAATTTCCCCCCATCTTATATTTTTAATGGTGCCAGTCCTGGGACTTAAACTTGGGACCTCGGTGCTGTCCCTGAGCTTTTTTGCTCAAGGCTAGCACTTGAGCCACAACTCCCTTCTCAGCATTTTACTGGTTAATTGACAAGTCTCAAGGACTTTCCTGCCCAGGCTGGCCTTGAACCCTGATCCTCAGATCTCAGCCTCTTGAGTAGCTAGATAACAGGTGTGAGCCACCTCTGCATTTTAGCATCATTATTCATACAAGGGAAGGACCTCTGTTTTGACATGTCCATGTATGCATGCAATGTATTTAGGTTACACCCACCCTGTTAGTGCTCTCTCTCATTCTCGCTACTTCCCAAACCAATCTCAAGATGGCTCATTGTTCCATTGTCACACATGTATATAAAGTAAATTTTGTACTTTTATATAGTAAGTATAAAGTTTGATAGAGATTTTTTTTCTTTGTAACTGGTCCTGGGGCTTGAACTCATGGCCTAAGTGCTGTCCCTGAGTTTTTGGCTTAAGGCTAGCTCTCTACCACTTGAACACTTGCTCTACTTTAGTCTCTTTTGGTGGTGAATTGGAGATAAGAGTCTCACAGACTTTCCTGTCTGGGCTGGCTTTGATGTGATCCTCAGATCTCAGCCTCCTGGGTATTTAGGATTATAGGCATGAACCACCTGCCCCAGCATTATAAAAGTATTTTTGTGGTTTATACATTCACCCTTGTTCAAAGTTTGCCTTCTCCTCTCCTTGTGTCTTTCATTCATTAGTATTGAGTGTATGCTAATTATTCAAAAGGTTTATACCTATGCAAATACAGCATTTTAATCAGATTGATCCTTTCCTCTCTTACTCTAACTTTCCCTCTCCTCACTGTTCCCTCTTATTCAATAGTTGGCAGTGAGCTTTCCTTTCCCACCTTCATTTATAGATGCCATGTATTTCAATATTGTGTTTATGTACTGCCTTAGCTCTTATAATCTATTGTCTACTTCCTCCTAAGTTTTATTTCACAAAATCTACCATTTAGAATTAATTTCTCAGTAGGGTGCATTAAACTTCATGCATGTTTGGAGATCAGGGTCATTAAAGTCATGTACATGTTTGAAATATTAAAATTTGATGGAATAATTTAAGTATTTGAATGTTAACAAAGCAGATTGGCTGCTGTTGGATAATACTAGGTTAAGAAGAATAAAATTATCTATCAGACTCTTAAAATGTTTTATAAATTAAGTTACCTTTCTAAAGAAAGATAAGCAGGTGTTTCTTCTAATGATTGGACTACCCTGCTAAGATGATTTAAAATATAATTGCAAACTTACGAAGGTTAATGTTATATATTTTTTCTTTTAATTTTAGTCATGATTTCATTGGGGAGTTTACAACAAGCTATAGGGAACTTTCTAGAGGCCAGTCACAATTCAATGTATATGAGGTAAGTTACAACTTACTTTAGTACTGTTTCCTTTTGATCTATGTATATTTGCATTTTAAAGGCATGGGATCTGCAAAGGATAATTGAAAAAGGTCAACTTTGTGCGCGCCCGCGTGGTGTGTGTGTGTGTGTGTGTGTGTGTGTGTGTGTGTGTGTGTGTGTGTGTGAGAGAGAGAGAGAGAGAGAGAGAGAGAATTTATTGAACTAACTTGTTCCCTAGATTAAATTTTATTTCCTTTCCACTATCATGGTCTGTATAGTTTGGGATATTGTTTTTAGTCTGAAGGAATGCAGGGTTAAGATGCACCTATATTTAAAGCAAACATACTGGAGTCATTTCTGTTTCCAATCTCTTGCCAGTGAACCACCCCATCAGTGGTTAGCATAGGAGATGTTTTAACATTGTTAATCCTTGAGTTTTCATGTCTGTACATTCTCTGTTTTTTGTTGTCATTGTTTTACTTAATGTAGGGTGGGGTGATGGCAAATAAGAACATCTCAAAAAGTTGTGTTTTTTTTTCATCCCACTACTAGGGTTTGAACTCAGGGCCTTGGAGCTCTACCATGCTTCTAGCACAGCATCTTGATGATTAATTGGAGATAGAGTCTCCAGGACTATTTTACTCAGGCTGTCTTCCCATCTTGGTGCCCTATGTCTCCCGAGTAACTAGGACTACAGGTGTGAGGTCCAGGCCTCTAGCTGGCACATTTCAGTATTTTATCAATGATTTTAACTCTTTGCTGTAAGTGACACTCAAGTTGGCCTATTGTGAGAGTGGAGGAATCTCCTCTACAACATTCTTACTTGGTTGGACTGTTTTTATCCCGCTCAGACCTCATTCATTCATTCATTTATTTTTATTAGAATGTTTATTAATATTCTCTGTCAATATTTAAATCTTAAGTTGCTGTAAATTAAGTTCTGTGTCCCTTCTGGTTATGTAAATTTAAATTCGGTTTGGGAGAGATAACAATATAAGACATGTTTAGTGTAGTTTTAGTTTGTTCTCCAAACTATACTTATTGGCTGAGCACTGGTAGTTCAGACATGTAATCTACTCAAGAGGCTAAGTTTTGAGGACTGAGGTTTGAAGTCAGGTGGGGCAAAAAAGCTATGAGACTCTCCTCACCAATTAACCATCTAAAAGCCAGAAGTGGAGCTGTGGCTTAAGTGGTAGAGTGCCATCCTTGAGCTACAACACTAAGGGACAAGTGCGTAGGCTCGCGTAGGCTCTGAGTTCAAGCCCCAGTAACTGTCACACACACACACACACCACTCTAAATACATTTCACACCCAGATCTCACACACACACACACACCACTCTAAATACATTTCATACCCAGATCACTCACACACACACACACACCACTCTAAATACATTTCACACCCAGATCTCCCTCTGATTCTGCATAAGCCCTTTACTTACCAAACTTGTATCCACTTGTATTCTGGCAGAGAAGCTGTTCAGTAATTCCACTGCCTTGTTTCTAATACATGCCTGGAGGTGAGATTTCCTCATTGAGCAAGCTTTGAATCATTTCAAATCAAGTCCAGCCCCATTAGTGGGGCTTTGAAGTGACCTTTCAGACAAGATGACTAATGATAATTCTCTGAACATGACACCTTTGAACAATTCTATACCCCGGCTGTCCACTACTGGGTCTTTTAGATTTCTGTTCCACACAGGTGCTGTGATGTGAGTCTGGTTCACTGCATACAGCAACTCCAAATGCCACACACTGAAATTCAGACTTGGTTTCTGTTACAATTACTTTGGGGTTTTGTGTTTTGTTTTGTTTTTCATCCCACCCCTGAATTAATGCAGTTGGTAACTGGTGAAAGCCTTTGAGTTCTTCTAGATTCTTGAAAATTTTTCATTTTGATTTTTTTCCCCATCATGTTCTTGTTGCCTTTATGGTGGAGTGTTCTGGGGTTATTACTCTGCCAAAGTGCTTTCCTATTCTGTTTTTAGTGATATTTATAAAGATCAAGTGCTATGACAGTCTATGTTGTGTAATTCACTTACCATTTTTATTGAGTGCTTCTTTGATTGAGTCTGGTCTAATGTGATTAGTTGGGCAGATTCCTCATATAACTTAATCAGAAAGTCACTGAATCTCAGATAATTTCCTTGTGACATTAATAAGTTATGATTTCCCAGTAGTCAATGGCGTTGACAAGAACTGTTTGAAAAAAATGCTTATGAAAATCCTACTGAAAACTTATTCCAAAAATCCAGGACAAAAACATTCTTCTCTAAACAACCCATTGAATGACAGGCTGGATTATTTTGCTAGCAAGAATCCTATCAGAATGCAAAGGCAATTTTTGTTTTTTGGGAAAAACTTGTTTGTGTGTGTGTTTTTTTATTTTTAACTTATTTTTAAAAGTTTGATTTAGTTTGTGTCATTCCTGATTTGCTCTGTACTGCTCAGATAGATGTTCTTCAGACAATTTTGAGGATTTTATTTTATTTTGTATTTCTTCTTTTTTTTTTGTGTGTGTGTGTGTGTGTGGTGTGTGCCAGTACTGGTGATTGAACTCAGGGCCTAGGCTCTATCCCTGAGCTCTCTACCACTTCAGGCTTTTTGGTGGCTAATCAGAGATAAGAATCTCACAGTTTCCTGCCTGGCCTGGCACAGCTTCAAACTTTGATCCTCAGATTTCAGCTTCCTGAGTATCTAGCTTTACAGGCATGAGCCACCATTGTGTGGCTTGGCCTTGATCTTTTGATCTTCCTACCTCAGCTTCCCAAATGCTGGGATTACAGGGGTGTACTATAACATGCCTAGCTGCAAACCATAGGTTTATATATATATATTTTAATTTCTCTTATTCGGCCTTTTTCCTGCCCATCCTGAAACTTGAACTCTGGGCCTGGGTATTATCCTTGACTTTTTTTTTTTGCTCAAGGAAAGTGCTCTACCACTTGGGCCACAGCTTCACTTCTGGCTTTTGGGGGGGTTAATTGGAGATAAGAGTCTCATTGACTTTTCTACCCAGGCTGGCTTCAAACTGCAATCCTCATATCTTAACCTCCAGAGTAGTTAGGATTACAAGTGTGAGCCTCCAGTGCCTGGCAAACCATATTTTTGTACAAAGTAATCAGTATTCTTAAGGACTTAGGATATTAAAGATCTTTCCTAAGTGTACAAGATGCAATAGGTAGAAAAATAAATAAATAAAAACAACTTGGAGGACTATTACAGATTATATATATTTATATATGTACATATGCATCTGTGTGTGTGTGTGTGTGCGTGTGTTTGTGTATTGGGACAGTCTTGGGACTTGAACTAGGATCCTGGGCACTGTCCATGAGCCTTTTTTTTTATTGTTCGAGCCTAGTGCTCTATCACTTGAGCCATAGCTCTACTTCCAGATTTTAGTGGTAAATTGGAGATAAGAACCTCACAGACTTTTTCCCCCCAGGCTGGCTTTGAACTACAATCCTCAAGTCTCAGCCTTCTGAGTAGTTAGCAGGATTACAGGCATGAGGTACCAGCTCCTGGCAAAAGATATATCTGTTTTGGTTTTTTTTTGTTCTTTTTTAAAGATCATCATTAGTAATTTTGGCAGTGAAGCCTGAGAAAATGACTTTGTAGAGTTTCTTGGGGGAACTCATAAATGTGTATGTATATACAAAGTGAACACAACAAGTTTAACAACATACTTTGAATTTCAGTATACATCCTAACATTTTAATTGTCTACTCTTTCAGGTAGTGAATCCCAAAAAGAAAGGAAAAAAGAAAAAATATATTAATTCTGGAACAGTAAGTGAAATTAAATGTTACTTTTTTGGGGGGGGGTCCGGTCATGGGGCCTGAACTCTGGTCCTGGGCGCTGTCCCTCAGCTCTTCAGCTCAAGGCTGGCGCTCTACCCCTTGAGCCACAGCGCCACTTCCAGCTTTTTTCTTTTTGTTTATGTGGTGCTGAGGAATCCAACCCAAGGCTTCATGCATGCAAGGCAAGCACTCTACCACTGAGCCACCTTCTCAGCCCCTAAATGTTACTTTTTTAAGGATTCAAATAAATGAACAAAAATTACATACAACTTTTCTGGGTGCTGGTGGCTCACTCCTGTAATCCTAGCTAATCAGGAGGCTGAGATCAGAGAATCTCAGTTCAAAGGCAGCCCAAGCATACAAATTGGAGAGATTTTTTTTTTAATCACCAGAACCAGCAAGAGAATCTAGAAATAGAGTTGTGGCTCATGTGGTAGAGCTCCAATTTTGGCTTAAAAACAACCTAATAAGCAAGATCATGAATTCCTGAGTGTAAGGCCTAATATTGGCACCAAAAATAAATAAGTAAATAAATATATTTTTAAAGCAAAGACTAAAAGCAACTTACACACTGAGCTTTGTTTCACTTGAGCTTTGATTGTTAGGAACTGTAATTCTTCCCAGGGAGCGAACACAATGGAGAATTCCTTTTGGGAGCAAGTTCAGTGGCCAGGTTTCCAGCCTGATTTCCTGGAGTTCAGCACAAAGGAAGCTAAAGTCTTGTTTTGCATTGTTCATTCCGGAAAGCCAATGCACATTCATCAGGCAGATGTGAGACAGCTAAGTCCAGTTAGAAGTACTGTACTGCAAAATATGGGTATCTTAGACCTTTAATCTTAGACACTAAGGAGGCTAAGATCTGAAAATCACAGTTCAAAGCCAGCCCAGGCAGGAAAGTCTATGAGACTCTTATCTCCAATTATCTCCAATCTCCACCAGCAAATAGGTGGAAGTGGAACTCTGGCTCAAGCGTATTAGCCTTGAGAGGACAGAACCCAGGCCTTGAGTCCAAGCCCCAGTAATGATGAAATAAAATAAAAAGTTAAAACACACACAAAAAAACAGAAGACTATGCTTTTGTTAGGCCTCACTTAAATACAAGAAATGGACTGTGCTCCTTTATAGTGTATTGTCAACTCTGACCAGGTACCAGTGTCTCATACCTATAATCTTACCTACTTAGGAAGCTGAGTTCTGGAGGATTCCAGTTGAAACCCAGCCTGGTCAGAAAAGTTTATGAAACAAATGGCAGACTGGAGGTATGGCTCAAGTTGATAGAGCACCAAGCAAGAGCATGCACACACACACACACACACAAATAACAAAATACAACTTTGTACATTTGCTGTAAAATGTGGCACATAAGGTGACGATGATAAAAGAGCCTGCCAAGTGTGGAAATTCAAGATCATCCTATATATATATTTTTATGTTGGTACTAGGGTTTGAACTGAAAGCCTCATGCTTGCTCAAAGTGCTGGCTTGGCTGGTGTTCTACCACTTGCGTTGTGCCTCCAGCACAGCTTCTTCTTATTTTGGAGATGGATTTTCATGGACTTTTCTGTCTGGGCTGCTCTCAGGGAACCTTAATTGGCTAGCTCTCAGCTTTCTGAGTAGCAAGGTTTACAGGCATGAGCCATTGGCACTTGGCTAAGATCAACCTATCTTTAGAACTGAATTTTGTTTTTCTAAGATTAATTCTCCTTGTGAGAAGCAAAATGGAAGGGCTTTCCACATTTCATGTTGAAGGTATTTTTTGTTTATCATGGAAGTCATGGAAGATGGCCTTCTTTTAGAACCATGACAAAAATACCTTTTTTGTTTCTCCCACGGCTCAGCTGACTGACTATGTCGGCTTTCTGCCAGCCTCTCATCTTTCCTTTTATCTAAAATGGGAAGTAACGTGGTCTCCTTGCAGATGGTGTTCATGTGTTTTTCAAAGGAAATAAACTGGCTACAGAACACAGTTAACTAATTTTTTTTAGGGAGGGGCAGATTTTCCTAAATTGTCAGTGAACTAGCAGTGAACAGTCTTTGGCATATTTTAATAAATAATAATGTCTTCAGGGACTTCCAAAAACACTGGGAATTTTATTTTCTCTTTAATAGTTAGAAAAAGTCCCTTTTGGAAAGATGAAGGGTGAATAATTTCATAATACAAAGCAACCATGGATGAAGATGGACAGAGAACCTCAATGAAAGCAGTTTGGGTAGTGATAAGAGAAGAGACAAGAGAGAAGATTAAGTGTTCTGAGCAAAACATAATATATGTATAATCTAAATACCAAAGTGAAGCTCTTTGGTGCAATGAACACACACTTGAGAAAAATAAGAGAGCTGGTGGCTCACTTCTGTCATCCTAGCTACTCAGGAGGCTGAGATATGAGGATTTCCAGCCCTGGCAGGAAAGTCAGTGTGATTCCTATCTCCAATTAACCACCAAAATTGGAAGTGGAGTAGCGGCTCAAGTGGCAGAGCACTAACTTTAAGCAAACAAAGCTCAGCGATGGCGTCTAGTACCTGAGTTCAAGCCCCACTAATGGTATCAAAAAAAAAAAGTCAGGAAAATAAAATGGATTCAGATTGTTGGTTTGGAAACCTGTGGGATGGAAGAAAGGCAGAGGAAACTGAGGCACAAAGATGAATACAGTCTGAGTGTATTTGTGTGGGAGAGGTTGAAATTAATTGAAGAAGGGGGAGTGGGACAGGGAAAAGGGACATTGATCTAGATATGTCATATGGAAGGAAGGAAGGAAGGAAGGAAGGAAGGAAGGAAGGAATTGGAAGAGAAAAGGTAGGAGGGAGAAAGGAAAGGTGGAAGAAAGGAAAAAAGGAGAGGAGGATAGAGAAGGAGGGAAGGAGAATGAGAACAGACATACACACAGAGAATAGAGAGAAGGAAGAAAGAAAAAGTCCCTTTGGGTTCACAGCCATTACTGATTGATTATTCCTTCTCTCTTTTCTAGGTAACTTTACTCTCCTTTTTGGTAGAAACAGAAGTTTCATTCCTTGACTACATTAAGGGAGGGTAAGTCATTCTCTGTTTAGACATTTCCTGCAATGTGTTTAGAAGATTCCCAAGCAATTGAGAATCAATTTTGTGCATTTTCATGGCTGACTTACTCTCTTTTGAGTCAAATATAAACATAAAACTTTCCTTATTTCTGTGTGCCAGTGGCTCATTCTTCTAATCCTAGCTGCTCAGGAGTCTGCAATGGGATGATCAAATTTGATGCCATCCCAGGCAGAAAAGTCCTGGAGATTCTTTCTTTCTTTCTTTTTTTTTTTTTGTCGGTTGTGAGGCTTGAACTCTGGGCCTGGGTGCTGTCCCTGAGGTCTTCAACTCAAGGCTGGCACTCTGCCACTTGAGCCATAGCACCACTTCTGGCTTTTTTCTGCTTATGTGGTGCTGAGGAATCGAATCCAGGGTGTCATGCATGCAAAGCAAAGCACTCTACCACTGAGCCACCTTCCCAGCCCCTGGAGATTCTTTTTTTTTTTGGTTGGGGGTCTGGTCTTGGGGCCTGAACTCTGGGCCTGGGTGCTGTCCCTCAGCTCTTCAGCTCAAGGCTAGCACTCTACCACTTGAGCCACAGTGCCATTTCCGGCTTTTTTCTTTTTGCTTATGTGGTGCTGAGGAATCAAACCCAGGGCGTCATGCATGCAAGGCAAGCGCTCTACCACTGAGCTACCTTCCCAGCCCCCCCCCCGGAGATTCTTATCTCCAATTAACTGCCAAAAAATCAAAAGTAGGGCTGTGGCTCAACTGGTAGAGTAGAAAAGCTAAGGGACCGCACAGGTCCTGAGTTCAAGCTGTAGTATCGCCACCAAAACTAGAACAACAAAATACTTCTCTTAGCTATTAATTTGGGGGACATACTGAATTTTTTTTTCCAATGAAGAGAAAAATCTTTCCTTTTCTTTTTTTAGTTTTATTTCTCATTTGTTTTTGTTTATTTTTTCACTTTATTTGACACATTATCTTTTGACATAAAGTCTCTGTACAGGATATCACGGTGTAGGCCAAGCTAGCCTCAAACTTTTGATCCTCCTTCATCTGCCTCCCCAGTGTTGAAATTAAAATCTGATATCACTATACCCAGGAGAACATTTTCATTTGCCTCTCACTCTCAATCTCTCTCTTTTCCTTCTCTCTCTTTTCTTTCTCTCTCTCTCTCTCTCTCACACACACACACACGCACACGCACACACACGCACACACACACACACACACACACAGACACACACATATACATGTGTTGATCCTAGGGCTTTAAACTCAGGATTTGGGAGCTTCTGTTAAGCTTTTTTGGTCAAGGCTGGTGCCCTACCACTTAGCTACAGCTGTACTTCCAGCTTTTCTTTTTCTTTTTTTGTAATTTATTGGAGATAAGAGTCTCATGGACTAACTGGGTACCAGTGACTCATGCCTGTAATCCTAGCTACTCAGGAGGATGACATCCCAGTTTGAAGCCAGCCCAAGCAGGGAAAGTCTGTGAGATGCTTCTTTCCAATTAATCACAGAAAAAGCTGGAAATGGAGCTATGCTTAAGTGTTAGAGTGCTAACCTTAAGCAAAAGGAGCTCAGGGATAGTGCCCAGGACCAGAGTTCAAGCCTCAGGACTGGCCAAAAAAAAAAAAGAGGAATCTCACTGACGTTTCCTGCCAAGGCTGGCTTTGAACTACAATCCTCAGCTCTCAGCCTCCACAGTAGCTAAGATTACAAGTGTGAGCCACCAGCCTCTTGGCTAACACATACAATTTTTAAAGCATTTTTTTAAAAAAACTTTTTAAAATTTAAAATTGTTATTATAACGGTGATGTATAGAGGGGGTTACATTTCTTTCTGGACAATGTCACCTCTTCCCTTGCTCTCTGCAAGTTTTTCCCTACTGTCCCCACTCAGAAGCTGTATAGTTCACTGTCAGCACAGTCTAGTAAGTTACCACGGCTGCCTTTGTTCACTCTTTGCTCCTCCACTCCTGTGTCTCCCCCTAGCCTCTAAAAAATATTCATGAAATAAAAGAGTAGCTTGTGGGTTTGATTTAAGCTTACATGCTAACTTCAGAATATTAAAGGGGTGTTCTTTGTCATGAACTCATAAAATAGAAATGAATAGGAAATAGTGATCTTGTTACTCTGTTGGCTCCCAGCCTGGAATATTTTTTTAAGTAGTCACTGCAACTTTTTTTTGAAATTGCACTAAGTCCTAACAGATCTTGTGTGGGTCATATATCATAAATTCCTCTATCGTGGACAATATGGAAGTCTTTCCAACCCTCCCCCCACTCATTTTTTAGCCTAGTCTTTATAACCTGAGTATCTCTTGAAATTGGGGGGGGGATTATGATCTCACAGTGTAAACTATTCACAACTTCTTATGTGTTTGCTTTTATTTTACATTTATACTCTATGAAAATGGTGAGAGGCATTTTTTATTTTGATTGAATTTGATATTGTGAATTTGACTTGCTTAATAACCTCATGATGAATAGCAATCAAGAAAAGGCAAGTTTATGCCTGTAATCCAAGCCAGCATAGCCCAAAATGTCTGCAAGACTCCATCTCCAAAAGAAAAAAATAGCAAAAAGCTGAGCCGGAGGTGTGGCTTAAGTGGTAGAAGGCCAGCTGCAAATCCTTGAACATCAACCCCTGAATTTCCAGAGAGAGAAAGAAAGAGAGACAGACAGACAGAGACAGAAAGAGATGAGGAGAGAACTCAGTAAACCTTTTCCTAATTATGATTGACAAATTTTTCCCAATACTTACTCGTCCATACAATGTCACCAGAGAAAAGAAGGAAAACAGAAATGAAAGAAACAATGCGAGCAAAGACAGTTACCTAAAAAATAAAGCAATTGCTGCTATTTACTCTTTGCTAAGTAAATGAAACCAAAACAATATGCGTGAAGGAAACACCTCACAAAGAGGTGTTTTGCAGTCTGCCTGTTGCAGTCACAGTGGTTGTTTTGATAAAGTTAGAAGGAAAAAATACAAAGTAGAAAAAGTGTTTGCCAAGTCTCCAACATATGTGCATATTTTTTATTAATAGAAGATGGAAAAATAGAGAGTTAAACTTGTCATAATTGGGTTTGCTACTGTATCTGAAAGGAATACAAAAAATCCTGTCTAATGTATACTACATTATTTGTATATGACAACTTATTTAATAAGGGTGGATAGTATCTTTTAAAAATGTTGTAATTAAACATTACCTATCGTTCATCATTAGTATTCATATAAATGAGTGAAATAGAGGGTTATTAAGGTTATTTTTTTAATTTTTATTTTTATTTTTTGCGAACATACTATACAGTGGGGTTACAATTACATGGGCAAGATAATGAGTTCATTTCTTATCAAGCATTGCAGCCTCCTCCTTTGTTTACCCTTCACATCCCTTCCCAGCCTCCCCCCTGCCTCCCCCAATCCCTCCCAATCTCCCCCAACCCCTCCCCCGCACCAAAGTTGTAAAGTTCGTTTTTGACATGACAACTTGTACTTCTCCTAGTTGCATCGGGTCCACCTGTATCCTTAAACGACTTGTTTTTCCCCATCTCCTCCACAAGTTATACTGACATCAAATATAGTGAAAGCAGGGGTTATACTGTGGGGGAGAAATAATCTTATAAATGAGTTAGAAACAAATGCATGAAAGAAAAAAACATTTAAATACTTATATAAGGGTTCATTTTCCTGACATCACATTATCTGACCTTTCCTGCTTGACTCATACATATACTAGATATTGCAAATAAGGGAAACCATGGGACCTTTGTTTCTTTGGGCTTGGCTTACTTCACTTAGTATAATTTTTTCCAAGCCTTTCCATTTCCTAACAAATGGGGAAATGCCATTCTTATTAAGGTTATTTTGGACAGTGGGACAGTTTTTTGTGTGTGCTGGTTCTGGGGTTTGCACTCAGGGCCTGAGTGGTGTCCCTCAGCTTTTTCACTCAAGGCTGGCAGTCTACCACTGGAGCCACACATGTCTGCATTTTGCTGGTTATTTGGAAATAAGAGTCTTTCCTGCCTGGGCTGGCTTTGAACCTCAGACCTCAGATCTCAAACTCCTGAGGGGCTAGGATTACAAGCATCAGCTACATGCACCTATCTTTAAGGGCTTATTTGATTTGTGGACTCAGCTGAGCAAATAAGATAAATGTATTATAAAAATTAGCCAAAATCAGAAATGGAGATGTGGCTCAAGTAGTAGACTGCCAGCCTTGAGTGAAAAAGCTGAATTAGCCCCAATCCAATTTGTATGCAAACATTCTTGAAAACAAATAAAATTTTTAAAGAGTATTTCCCCCTTTTTAGTTAAGCAATGTCTATGCTTTGTTATTGTTTTTTTTCTGAACTATGGTTCTACATCATTTTATGACATAAGGTAGAGAAAAAAATATTTTTTCAATAGATACTAACATCTGAAAGGAACACTACTGTAGAATAATGAAAACTGTTAACCTGTCCTCTATTGTTGATTTGGGGGTCATTATTCTTAGTTACACTATTGAGAACAGATAGAGAGCCTGGCCAGCCAATCAGAGCCGAGACTCCCTCCCTTAGGGGCTCTCTACCCCTCACCATGGCCCTGAGCAGTCCCATGTGCAGACCCCTAGACATCTCATTGCCATCAAGGTGGACCTCTGGGTATTACATCATGGCCCATTGTCTCTGGGAGGCCCCCTGTGAACAATGGACTGATTTGACCCCAGAGGTGTGTACTGGAATGGGCATCCAATCAGAGGGACTAATGGCTGCACAGAGTGCTTCTGATTGGCTCTGGGGACTGCTGTGGCCCACAGACTGTTCATTGATCTTGAGATTCATGTAGCTCTCTCCTATAATCACCTTATTAATCTGCACACTGCACCCTAGGTGGTGCCCTTCCGTGGTACCCCTCGTGGCTAGCAGGAACTCTGCTTATCTTTTTCTTTAATAAATCTTTGCCATTTTATTTCTCCCTCTGTGGTCTCATTCTTTAAGACCATAGAGAAAAAGGACCTAATCCAGGTTTTACAGTGTT